CAGTGGAATATTTACAATCGACTTGTTCAGAGCTTGAATACTTTCAAGCTCGAAGCATCTTATCGAATACGTGTACATATTATATGAAACGCTGATATTAAATGTAACGTTTTATCGCTTATTTATCTCACATTTTCCTATTCATTTCGGAGCTAGTTTACAAGTATAATACAAGCCGCATTTACAATAATATTTCAAAGAGGTTTATATAGAAAATTACGTTATCATTTCTCTCTATAAATCACTAATAAATATACGTATATACACACACACATATATATATGCGATACGCTCTTTAATTTCTCCCGGCAAAGCTGCTGGACACTGTTCCAGATTCTCTCGGTGTAATATTTTAAAGCCTGGACTCGCCGCCCGCCGCGACGAGAGGCTCGGTCCTCTCCTCGTTTGTGAACGAGCGAGTCTCAAAGCCGAATGAAAAGGAGTAACGGCGGAAATGCTAAAGGAGATTCTTCGCGGAGAAGCTCGACTATATATATATATATATGCATACACGGAGGCTGTGTGGCACTCGATCTTTCTTTACGTAATTTACCCTGCCAGAGAAAGATCATATATATGTATAAATGTATATCCATCTTCGTCTCACTCTCTAACCGTTTCTCTCTCCTTATCACACTTTTGCACAGCTCCTTCTCTTTCACGTAAAACCTCGCTCTCAGTCGATGTCTCATACTCCCCCCCCCTCCCCCTCCTCCCGTTTACTCCCCTCGCCAGCCCTACCTCATCTTTGCCTCTTGACTCTTATTCTTCTCGTCCCGATGTACGATGGACTTACGCGAGACTCCTCTCTGGATCTCTATACACTCTGCTCAATCTCTTTGCTCTACGTTACTTAAGTGAATACTTCTCCACCCATACGAATGTACATACTCGATGTCATCTACGTTTCTTTATATTATACATATATATATGTATATATATATACATGCATATACGCAACTGTGTGTCTCCCTGTACATAAAGATCCATAATGATCAGAAAACCAAAAAAAAAACAAAACAAAAAACAAAAAGCAATAGATCCGCTGAGACGAAAGAGAAATGAAAAAGACAAAATGTAAGTTGTCCATATTGAGCAAGTTTAGCATATATTGGCCCTCCACGCTACTCTCTCCCAACTGGCACGAATTCTAGTTGTACGCTAGCGTTTTTTTCTTCCTTGGCGGCTCGTTTTTTTACCCCCCCCCCCTTTCTCTTTCTTTCTCTCTCCCGCAGTTCTCTCCGTACGTCTGTGGCTGTCTCATTGTGTTTAGCTGAGTGATCTTTCAGTTTCTAGATCGTATTACCAACTCTTCTCGCTCTCCACGTACACACTCACACACACACACACACACACGTATGGCTCTCTCTCTCTCTTTTCTTTCCTCCCTGTATCTGTCAGCTATCTTTAATTTTGGTTGCGAGCGCAGACACACGAACACCAAACTCGTCCTGAGTGATGCACAAATGCCAAACGTCCGAGCGCATTGTCATCTTTGCGAGAGATATCACTAGTGGCGCGCTCGCAATTGTGATGCTGCAGCTATATGCAATCAACGGCAGGGTGATCGACAATTCAATGTTCCCATCGATATGCAACGCGCTCGGCGAGCCACGCGGTAAATAAACGAGTATTCAACGGCTCCGTTCGTTCGACTTTTTTTTACCTTCACGGGGTGCTTGAATGCGAGCGTTTTTATCCAATGTTCGACGACGTGACGAAGCCGATAATCTTTAACGGTAACGACGAACAAGCGCGCGGATCGCTCGGATGGAAAACGCGGGCGTTTGGTTGTTGTCACATTCACGCTTTTCCCTGGTATATACATATTGTATAATACGTTACGTGGCACAGGAAGTATGTGCAGAAGCGCAGATTGCAGATTTAATGGGCGAACTTCCATCGGATACATCGAATGAATTTTCTCGGGGAGAGGGAGTGATGTTGCGAAATGCATCACAATATGTTGGTCGATTGTTATATATACCGGGGAAACGCGCGCTTTGGAAACAACCGTAGATTGACATTGTACATCAACGCTTGTCGCAACGGCTCTTCTTCGGCTTCAAAAGAATTTCTACATGTATAATTGCAGAACGAAACGGTACACATCGGTACGCATGAAAAACGCTTGATGAACGTTGAAAACAAAGTGTGTGTCGTAAATAATTAATAATATTAGTAATAATTAATCGTTCAATTTTGTCTGAATTTACAATCAATGTACATCATTTAAAAAACATTTTATAAACAATTCACGTAACTCGTACAAACGTTACAAAAACAGATTACACTTCCAAGAGGATATAGTGTTGTTTAAATATTTGATTTATAATTTTCATTAATTTCAACAATGCTTACCAAGCGACAAAACTCTTGCACGCGATAATCTTATTTTAACATATAAAATTATATGAAAAGATAATGAGAAACGATAGCGAAGTTGGGGGTTAGATTTTTTCGCTGTGATTTCTTCCCGGAATCTCATTGTCATCTTCATTAAAATTCATTTTTCACTTCCTACTTTAAATCGGGATAAAAAGATTTTCTCGCCCGCTCTTTTATTCGCGATAACTTTCCTATTTCCATTACTGAGACCGCACCTGTTAACAGAGATTCTTCGTAAAAATAATCTTCAAGGATAATCTCATTCGTTTTCTGATCATTAATTATCTTTTCATATTGTATTTTCTATTTTTCATTTTAAATGATATATAGTTAAAAAAGTATATTACGATGATTATACACGTTTAACAAAACTTAAAAATTTTATATACGTAGATATATAATATTGACAAATTTAATAATATTATTTACATTAGATTTTCCTATAATTTTGAACTCTACTCGCCTGTAGTACTTTTTAGTTACAGCCGTAGTTTTTAAAACTTTATTTCTTAATTTACTGTGAATAATTTACTATAAATGATTTAAAAAATTAATACTCTATCTTTTAACTAGTTCTCGTAAATAATTACATGTGTCACCTAAAATATATAATAATTGTGAAATTAGCATGTCATTCAAAAGTTTAGCCGTAAAATTATCACACTGCATCAAATTTCAGTTTTGAAATTAGAATATTAGGTTCGTATTTATATCACAAGTTCATATCATATTTCAGTGAAACATTAGTTACATAATATTAGAATTATAATACCGATTGGTTTGACCTTTTATTTGGATAGAACAGTAATATATAATATATGATCGATCAACTTTCTTCAACAAGTATATTTTTGAAAAAATGCGCAAACGAATGGAAAGTCTCTTTCAATTGTTAAAACACTAAATCATAGTAAATTATGCACAATAGATAGATATATTATTTTTATACGTTTATGACTCTTATTGCAGCCGAAGAAGTGCATCGCGACGGTACACACTTATTTGCTTGCGTAGAAAAAAACCTTTTCAGTAAATACATATGTAAATATGTAAATACGTAGGGAACAGCTTACAGTTCGGGAAAACCGTACGTAAAAAGAGAAAGAGTGATGGACGATTTACGTTTTTTTCGTGAAAATAAAAGGCTTGGACACGCGGAAAGGCATGCGAAGCTGGAATGCAGAGAAGATGTGCGAAGCGATGTCATGGAAACATTGGAAGGAAATACAAGGAGAGGCGAAGAAGATCGAAAGGAAAATATATAAAACGTCGATCGTGATGAAAAAAAGAGATGGACGAAAATTAACGAAATCTATGTATTTTTAAACGAACGTTTTTCTTGACTGTTTTGCACGTACAGGGTTATAATCCAGTGGATGTGTCTTCTCGATGCTTTCGAAAAGATGAAAAAATATCAAATAATTATTTATGTTTTAATAAATAAGTAGAGTTATGCTATTTTTCTATTAGCTCTTTCAGACAATTTATCGTTACTCGTATGAATAAACAATAGAAATAAATTGTATTTATGTACATATTGTAATATTATTAGGTTGTTTAATTTGTTATTTCAATATTATTTTAAGATTAGTAATTTTGTATGAAATACGGACTATATGTATATTAAATAATACGAAAGTCCGAAGATCCGTAGGTATAAAAATTGAACATTTTCAGTTTTTCAATTTTTTTTTCTTCTGAAGATGTCTAAAAAGTTTTAAAGTTATAAGAAACTATAAATTTTCAAATATCTTAAAATTCCCGATGTAAAATTGTTTAATATAAGAATTTTCGTAATTTTACGTCTAGAAACTTTTTAATAATTTTGTGAGATATAAAATTATATAATTATGTTTTTAAAAATCCATAAATTCTGTAAAAAATTGAGAATCTGTATATTATTCATAATATCAGATTTTTTAGTCTTAATTAAAAAACTTGAATTATCAATTAAAAGTCAGATTAATTGGAAAACATTATTGATCCGAATAACTAGTTTGAAAGAGTTAAGTAAAAATCAAATGAAAGCAAAGTAGATCAGCATCGGTACTTTCTATTTAGGGATTACACCTCTGTACATACACGATTACACACCCATAGTTGCTATATGTATGGTCTGCAACATAGAATGGGTCTTGACACGAATAAAATTAAACCTCGAGGACTGCTCTTAGTTTGCTCACATTTTTCTTCTTCGTTTTATCTTTTCAACAAAACTCCGCGAAACCGCTTCTGCATGCAAAATTAACTCTGCTTCGGACTCCTCAACAACCGCGAGTGGAGCACGAAGTTCCGTTAAAAAATCCTTCAATGTGTTCTTGCGGAGAGGTTAGATACCTTTAACTAGATACTTTTTCACGAGTTTTATCAGTATTACTGCTACAAAATGGTCAGTGAGTTTTTTCAATTTCAACGCTTATTATGAATTCATAAAAAAGTTGCTTCCAATAACCCTCCGCTGTCAATATTCTATTTTATTATACAATATTTTACATTTTAGAAATTACATTTAAATTGTAAGAAACAATGAACATTCGTTACCACTCGCAGGTTCAGAAACTTTTCGGATTAAGATACGTTAGGAACTTTAAAACTGGCTTCCTATCTTTTAGGAACAAATAGCGAAGGAGAGGCAGGTGAGCGGTCGAATACAAATCCAGGTTTCGTACGAGGCGGAACGCAAAGAATTGATTGTTTCGGTTTTTATGGCCGACGACTTATGTGCTCGAGAAGACACTGGATTCGGCATCTTACCGGAGGCTTTCGCTAAGCTTACCCTTGCTCCTCCATCGTAAGTTCATGGACATCTCATAAATTCTTGGATCGAATGTATCCGAGAATAGTCTTTCGCGAAATCGATTTTTTAAATCAAATTTCCAATTCAAAACAAAAGAAAAATTATAGATTATTAATATTAAAAAAAAAAGATTATATGAAATTAGGACATGGCAGATTAATTAATATTTAAGAGAAGGTCTACGGAAGCGCGATTAATGTATTTAATACGTAATTGCTTTTCCAAGAACTTTACCAGATTAATTACTTTTCTTTTCATTTATCTTTTGTTTATTCTATGCTTCGATGCTTAAAATGAATGATTGATTAATCACTTGCGACCTTCACAGCGGCGAAGCAACTCCACTGAAAACTATTGTAGCTGAGCCGACCCAAAAACCTATCTGGAACGCTACATTGTTCTTTACCGGAGTTGATGGCGAGAGTCTGATGGAACGTGCGATCGAGGTGACTCTCTGGGATTACTGTCCCGATAGCGATAATGTGTTTCTTGGCGAGTGCACTGTCGATGTTCAGCGAGCGCTTGAAAATGATAGAGCGGTTTGGTAAGTGCGTTTTTCAAAGGAGATCAATGGATTTAAGTAACTACAGTAGTCATAATTTAGCTCGTGGTATTTAATATTCACAATAAAACAATCTACGGATTTTTGCCATTTAATTCCTATAATTGCTATTATATAATATTTGAAATTTTTCATAAATTGAATAAAATTTAATAAGATTAAGTATTTTAAGGAAGTAACTCTTAGTTATTATATTAATTGCATTATAAATCTATTAAATATTAATGTGCAAAATATGTTAATTTTTTTACAAATAATAAATATATGTAGAGTCAAAATGTAAACTAATTGACGTCTCGAGTTGTATTAATTCCAAGCAGAACAAGTCACGAAATTGTCAAAAAATAACGTTATGAAATGAATCGTTACTGATTAAAAAATAACTTTTTGATAAATTTTGTATTTCCATTTTTATGTCTGCGTTTTGACGTCTATAGGTAATAATAATTTGTGTTCTGTTCGAAATGCTAATCAAATTGACGATTAACAATAATTAACGTAGAAAATTAACGTTTCATTACCACTCATGTGTATTCGTTAACGTTCATATTATATGTCGAAGTATCGCTATAAAATGTTAGGTATCGATTGGAAGATACACGTGGACTTCGAACGGGCAAATCGCCGTATTGCTCTCCACGCGGCTCGGTATCTATGGACGTCGCCCAGAGACTGTTTAGGAAGGAGCTGCGGGATCGGAGTTACAGTGATGATACGCAGAGTGATAGCGGTAGCCCGGAGTTCTGCTTCCTGCATCCAGACCATGCTTGGCACGCCAATTCCAGACGCGGTTCCAGCCAGTCCGAGCAACTCGAGGTTGAGCCCTACGAGCTCAACCGGGATTACAGCAGATCCCTGCCGGGTAGCCGCAGAAGCAGCTTCCAAAGTCAGGGTGGCACCGATAGTAAACGTGAGTGTCACAAAAAGATTCGGCACGCTTCAATTTCTCGTTCGATGAAATTGTTAAGAATATAACGTTACGTTATTAAAAGGATCTCCCTCGGGTAATTTCGATCTTGACTGAGAGAAATTAATTCGAGGCTTAATTGCGGGAGTATTTAATATTATAGTAGTCAGAATGATAGAATTTTAATTGTGAAGAAATAATATTAAGTTCATATTAAACTTCTTCATCAAGAAAAACTTGAGAAAATTTTAATTTTAAATTTTACATTAACTAATAATTGTTAATATATATATAGTTATTATCAAACTCAAAAGATATAATAGAGGAAAGATATAAGGGAATAAATATTTTCGGCTATAAATCTGAAATGTAAATTACTGATAGAAATTATGTCTGGCAGTAAATTCTTTGATGTAGTGTTTTTGATGTATCTCTATAAATTGACGTTACAAACGATTTCGAACGCATTTACTAAATGACGCAGTCAGTAAGGGAGAGTGGGGAATTGCGAACACGAAGCAAACGCGAATGATATTATTGCAGCATATTGACTTCTCATATTCAGTAGTAGTATGATATACATTTACTGCCATACTATAATACACGATCATAAAATGCATATGTTTAAAATAAATATAGTTACATGTTTTTGATGGGAAAAAGAGTAAAGAAATTGTGAATACGAAAAAAGTTAAATAAAGCTGACAATTATTTATCAATTATAAAAGTGTGTATTTACGGTATATTAGCTTTAAAGTATAATGTTTAATTTTTATGGACTGTAATATCAATATATAATCAATAAGCAATAATTTTGAACAAAAAAGATCCAATTCGGTTGCTCCGTGTAACGGCGAGTAAAACAAAAACTCCAAATGGCAAAAATTTTACTTTTTGTTTAAAATTACAATTTATATTAGTAATATACGAATGTGTTAATTATCTTTTTTAAATTAACTTCTATTATATAATTGATAAATATTTGTCGATTTTATTTAACTTTTCTCTTAGGTGTTTGCAGTTCGACTACTCACTACATAAAAGAAAGAAAATATGTTAGAATTTCGGAATTCTATACGTTCTGAGAGAATTTCTTGTCAGAATTTTCAATACTATTCGGATACTCGACCCAGTAAACCGTGTTCCGCTTTTCGTTGCAAGCTGGTCATCTTCACAAGTAAATTCACTCTTCTCTTCTTTTTCAAAGATAATAACGAGGAAGTGGGACTATCTGTGATGCTATTGTTGGGTAGCATCGAGTGCTGCTTGGAAGCACTTGGCACGCTTAAGTAACAGCTTCCTCGATTATCGCTATTCGATTACGTCACTTCAGCTAGAAGATGTCCATGTAAACGTTGTAAACAACAAAAATCGATGCATCGCGCAGTAAAAAATAGCAAGCATCAAAGGAGCATTTACATAAAAAATAAAAGGCCATCATAGAGGATGATACAAGCATATTCTTTTAATGAGAGAGAAAGAGAGAGAGAGAAGATCGTAAATATTGATACCATAAATATAAGATATATAACAATTTACAATCTATTTAATAATTATCAGCAGTTGCAAACTTTTAGAGTGATATGTCTACGTTAAAATTAAATTTCGTTTCGCAAAGCAGAATAATAATAATGTGTATGATTTTTATAATTTCTACTACTTAAATTTATCCCAGGTGGAAGCATGGGTGAAGCCGATATGCCTGCTGTAGTGAACTATAATCGCGATCGGCGGCGAAGTTCGTTCACCAGACCGATGAGGGATCCTGAGGAGATCCTGGAAGGTCTGCGGGCGTTGAAGGCGACTAAGGGTGAACTCAATAGGACCATGAGCCTCTCCGGTGACAAAAGACGCGGCAGCCGTGAGTATAAACGTTTTCCTTGCTTTTTGGCCATCATTTCGCTCGTTCGTTCGTCCGTCGTCCGTCTGTTTGTTTGCCTTTTGTACCTTTCCATTCGTTTCACCCCCACAACCATTTTTACTGCATTTTATGATACACTTTTTCTCTTTTTCTGTCTTTCTCTATTTTGTCACCGTTACTGTTTAACATCTCGGTGATAACCATCACCGTCACCGTCTGGTTAAATTACGAGACTCATTAATAAACGTCATATCATAGTCGTGCATCCTGATGTATGTAAGTGTGCGAGCGTGCGTGTACATTGTGTCTGGGTGTTCGTGCACTGTCTCTGTGATTGTCTGATCATATTCGTTAAATGTGTGCATTACACGAATCATCTGCCTGTCTCTTTTTCTCTATCAATGTTGGTTTTCTTCCCTACATTTTATCTACAATTTTTAGAAAATCAAATTTCACATACTTACTCATCACACTCTGCAATTTCTACAAAATATTTATCTCCATATTAATTGTAAAGCAAGACATTTGTAAAAAGATTTTAGAAATTTTTGTTAAATATTAGAAGTATTAATTAAAATAAAAATATCATATTTTTTTACATTTTATGAGAAAAGATTCTATTTAAATTTAAGTCTTATTAATCGGCACAATAACTTGATAAACCTTTTGAAGTAAAAACCTTTTGATAAACTTCTGGAAATATTATTTTTACTCTTGCATTTATACTATTCATAGTATTTGTGACACGAAAAAAGCGGAACACTCACAATAATTATCTCGTTCAGTTCACAATAATTATTTCCTATATTTTTAATGCTATAAAGAGTAATTTTTTAAATTCTTATAAAATATTTTTTTTTAAATTATAATATCAATCTGCAGTTTTTTTTTCATAAAATTTTATTCGATACTCGCATTCCGAATCATATTCAATGTGACCCTCATCTATATTTATGTTTAGCCATATCGTATGACTGTTTTGTAGAATTATAGAAACTCTTCTTTCTAATTTTTCAACATTTTTATATTCGGATGTCGATGCAATTATTATTTATCTGTCTCGCACTATCACGTATCGATCCCGCGCGGTTTGACCGAGTGAACGATCTTGATATGCAGAGAAATTTTTCGTTTGTCAAAAACCATTTTTGTCCGTATTTATGAAATCTAAATCGGACAGATCAAAGCGGGAATAGCCCGACCTGGAAAGGATTTAGATGAGACTTCGGGATACGATCGACTTTTATTATAGATTTTCGTGTCTAAAGTCGACCATGACGATGACCGCCTTTGACACTCGCCTTTCGTTTAACATTCTCAATTGTGCCTCGTTGCTTATCTCATCGTTCATACGCTCGATGTTCGATTCGGCGTTTACTTCGTTCCTGGATTTGACTGAAAATCTCCATCGAAAGAGCTTTTCATCAAAAGATGTCACACAGAATCATCGAGCTGCGCGGAATTGATTCGTCGACGTCGGAATGGAAATGAGCAAGAATCAAAAGCAGAAAGCGTCTCGATCACACAGCCGTGAGTCCATCGTGCAGCTTAAACAAATCCATCGTGCAACACATTTCCGCTTGGATCTGCGAAATTTCAAGCTTCGCTCGTCAATCATCCTCCGCTTTTTCGTCTCGAGGAGTCATCGTCCCGGTCGACGGAAATGCTCGAATTAATGTGGTTCTACCGAGTATAAAACCACCATGTTCATTTCGCTCTTTGTGTCTGTCTCTCGCTCTGCTTGCGTTTCCACGAAGAGGTCGATGTACTCCATCAAAACCAGCAAAAGATAACACACGACCTCTGCTCATTTGTATTTGCGATCGCTGTTGCGCGCCGCTGTTGCCTGTTGCTGATTGCTCTCGTATCGTCTCACAGCCTCACAGTAATGATTCGAATCCCTGCTCCCATTGTGCCTCAGGCTTTACCGAAGCGAGAAACAATATCATCGCCGCCACCGCCGTCGTCAATGTACCCACAATAGCGAATGATATATAATTCGCTGTTGTGCTTCTGTGCCGTTGCACGCACGTGTGTGACTTTACGCGCCGTGACCTTCCGCTCTCTGTTGCTCTCTTTCTTTCTATCTCTGTCTGTTCTTATGCTGTCTAGCCTCTTATTCACTCCTACGAGTATTGTTTGCCGCATTGACACCAAGCGTGCCATAAGCGATGCGTTGCTGTCATCGTTCTGTCAGCAAGATTATCGTTTCTTCGTCTTTCAGGCTTAATGGTCGCTTTAGCTGGCGGCTTCTGGCAAGTGTTAAACGTACCAAATCGATTGCGCGATGATAACATGTTAATTAATGATTTATCTTCTTAATAGCTTTACATTTTTTAATAGTCATGAAAATTGTTTATATAGCATTCAAGAAAATGATGATCGAAGTAGTAAATATTCAATGGCAATGTTATAATTGGTGCTTTTTGTATATTAGCGTAATGAATGTAATCTAATTTCCATAATCATTGCGATATTCTACTGAATATTAAGGTGACCAATCGTCCAAAATTTAAAGAGACATTCCGAAATTTTAACTCTTTGTCCCACTTTACGAGCCAAATATCCCAAGTTAAAGACATGATTATGAACAGCCCTGCTTTTAAATGTGAAAATTATAAGTGTGAAACAATAAGGAAAAATAATAAGTAGGGAACATAATTGTTAATTAAAGTGTAAAGAATTTCATGATTTTTTTTTATTTAAAAATCTATAAATATCATTTGTAAAATACATTTAGTAGAGAGAGAAAAGTACAATTTTTAAAAATAAAATATGATCTCGTAACTTGATGTAACTTTTCTTATAATCTCATAAGTCTTTATTATTAAGCATTATTAGTTACACATATAATATGATATTGTTTAGGTATTTTATTAACAATTATTAAAAAATATTTATCTATTAAAATATTTATGATCTAATTACGATAATGAATATTAATTTTTTTTTTAAACCTCTTCTAAAAGAGTTGGCCACCTGACAGTACATTCCGTTCCGCTAAAGTATGTATTAATTTTTTTTTTATATATAAAGAATATTTACTTTTAAATTGGACATTAACAGAATTGATAAAGTTGATAACGTTTTTCCGCGATGTAGAATTAATGGGTCCGGCATTAAATTACGTCATTATTATCTGCTGATGAAAGAAGGCAGTAGATTTGCGAGGAAGTAGACTGTGATTGTGCATGAGAAAAAAAGCTGGCTGATGTTTTTGGAGCACGTATGAAAATAATGAATTTTAATGCAACCGGTCAAAGTGCTCCTCACAATTATTCCCGCCTACTCAGTTTCCTCGCTTTGACTCAAGACTACAGTCGAAACCTGTCGAACTATACGGCATCCACCTCTATTGACAGTCGCTGCGTTGAATATTCGAAGCGATCATTAAGCGCGTCACCAAAAGAATCGCAATCACCTAATCAATTTCTCGCCCACCGTCTTCCTGTTGACATCTGTGTGCATCTTCGTTCACGTATGTGCCCGGCCTCGAGCGCAACGTGCACTTTGAACTAGACGCTTCACTGTATTGTTGATTATCTTGATATCCTTTCTCGGTCGGCACCGTCCGCCAATGCCGAAACTCTGAATGCTCTTCGTACTCGACACGAATCGCGAAACACTCGGTTCGCTCGGTCGAAACGCCATCGGCCATCGTCACAACCCCGATTATCGACGACAAATCGTGGGCCACGCACGCACGACCAACCAATCAACCAACCAACCAACCAACCAACCAACCAATCAACTAACCAACCAATCAACCAACCAACCAATCAACCAACCAATCGACCACCATCGACCACCAACAACGACAACAGAGTGCGTAGTCCCAACAGTTACTGTGTGGCAGTGCGAGCCTGTGTCTCCGAGGACCGGTAACTCGGCCTCCTTCCCATTGCCGCACTCCATACCACCTCGATAAATAATCGCAAGGCACTGTCAACCAACGTTATGGGCTTTCGGTAAGACACACTCTTTCTCTATCGCTCACTGTCTACTATCGCTCTTTTTCTCTATCACTCTCTGTTTATCTGTACTTTAAGCAGAGTCTCGCTTCGAATTTTAGTCCCTTTAATTCGCCCCTTTTAACAAACGGTATCGTAGTATTTGTTCTGCAATGAAGAGAGTATATAAGAACGGAATAGATTTAACGATATAGATATAGCAAAACTGTTGATATTAGAATATCCATTAGTTTGAACGTTCAAAATAGACGAAATAGAAAGTAGAAACAGAGTAGAAATAGCATTTCGATTTAAAAATCCCACAAGTCTGATTAATTCTCGGATAAATATTTAACGATATTTTGAATTTGTTTTCATAATGATATCTTTTACGTAATTTTAATAACAAGAATAAATAATTGTATGGCAAAACATTAATGATATCACGCTCTTTATTCAAAGATACACACAGTTGGAAAACAACAATTTGTGTACCTCTTGAATATTAAATTTAACACATTTTACATGTCCACTAAAACTTTTGTGTTAGTTTTAATATATGATGAATATTAGAAAGTGATATAAATATTATATAAAAAAATTATGCAACATAAAAAAACGTGCTACTGATAGAATTTGTAAGCAATCATATTTTTTCATTAAAATTAACATTTATAATATGTTAAATTAATACATTTAATTTATATACATTTATCTTAAAATTTATAATTTAAAGAACTGTATTTTTATATTATATCTGAATAAATTGTATTGTTTTAACACTATAATGTTAAGAAATGTTGAATATTAATTTAAAACAAAATATTCAAATAACATAATCACAATTGTATTAAATTGACACTCAAATATTAAAAATTCAACGCAAAATTTTAACAAAGGCTTGAATAGACCGTTTCTAACAAATATATAAAATATTTTTTTACTGTGTATAATGAATATTTTATTTCACAGTGTTTTACTTTTTCTATAACTTCTTTATAAATATTTAGATAATCACTATTATAACAGAAAAAATTTCTAAGCAAAATTTATATGACAAATACTTTTGTACTCATTATACGTATATAAATAACAATTTATCTGTCTGTTACTATACGCTACTATACTGTTCTGAATATATTTTTTTCTATACAATCTTTTAATTTTCTCTATCAAGAATTTAAGAACTATCATTACTACACATATCATTAAACATATTATTGATAGAGAATACCGTTCTAATATCTCTCGCGTTTTGCTTCTTTATTTTTGCACTTCTATTTTTTTCTCTCTCTCTCTCTCTCTCTTTGCGCGCACGTACCATTAATTTGTCTTCCCCCGATACACGCTACATTATATTTTTCAAAGACGCACACTACGTCATTTATCATCAGACAAGGAAAAGATAACACGTCTCGGTAAACTTTACTCGTCAAATATGTTCTTTTCTGTTTGCACGCGTAATTCGTAACTCCCTCCCAATCGTGATACAATTTTTTAAAACGAGATTAATACTATTGTTAATTCTGCAATTTCTCGGGTATACTATTAATTTCCAGCTTGCGTTAATCGTACTCCATTTTATCTTCTGCTCTCATTTATTAATCTTATAGTTAATCTTATAATCATTTCACAAAAGCATTAATTCCTTATCATCTTTTAATCACTTTTTTTATCCCTTCTTCTCTTTTTTTTTTGAAGATTATATCTTTCGTAATTTTTATCAAGAGACAACTACCTAAATATAATATATATAATGTTTTTTTTTAAATTATTTTTATTATTTCACACCATTTTCGACTTTGTTAAGTATCAAGATGTCTTACACAGCAAATTCTGTTTAATTAGCAATTATTGATTTCTAATACTTTAGAAATACATTTATAATATTATTGAGTTCTAATACTTTACAAGTACACGTGCATATCAACCTTGCAGTTATTTTAATATTAACAACTTCACACATAACTATCACAACAGATAAACAGATAAATAAATTTACAATTGGTAGAGGAGCACCTGAACACACATGCATTTATACATGTTTGTTCACACGCAAACATTATTTATTTATTTATTTATTTATTTAATAATATATTGCGGAAATAGAGCAATTTTTCGAATCATCTGCAAACAGGTGAGTAACAAACAAAATATCCACATCCCGTTCCTCACTACAAACCTTGACGAATTCCTTTTTGCTTCTCTCTCCTAAATTTTCTTGCAATTAGAACAAGTTGCGCTTTAGAATATTTGCTTGAGCACACTATTAGTATTTATAGATAATTTGAACGTTAGCCACTTACTGCTACCACTGTTGCTACCTACAATCATGATCTTAGGTAAGAGAATTTGAATGCTACCGTCGTATTGTCGCATGTCTTTAGCACTATATTGACACGAACATCTGACAAATAGCATTTTTATTAATATGAATGACTTATCTAACGAACTGTCTCTGTACTGACTATACGACATCTTTTCACTGATTCTATTTTTATACTATGACTACTGATTCTGAAATTGTCTTTTTTACTTTCTCTTTTTAATTATTTTATTTACTATTCTTATCTATGCATATATGTATATTTAAGATGTTCTACTTTCATGATACCTAAAAATATATAATATGTTGTGTAGTATAAGGAGCATTACCTATATGGATACAAAATATTTTAGCGATATTTATATGAAATCATAATATTAATGTACAAATGATACTTAAATAAAAGTTTTTTTTTAAATTCTTTGATAAAAATTTTTGACTTTCTTTTATAACAATTAGAAATAATATTTATGTGAGCAATTAGTAAAAAATGTTACTTTTTCTTACATCGGAAAAATTGAAAAAAAAATCGGCTAAAAATATAATTTTAAACACAAATCTGTTCGTTCAATAACTAGGTTATCCATAAATTTGTAATTTTATCAAAAAGATATTTATCAGAAGAATGAATTAGAATGGTAACAAATAATAAGGAAGTGTAAATGTATAAGAATAATGAGAACTTTAGAAGAAAATAACAATAGAACAAGGAAGAACTATACATTAGCTCTTCGAGCTTCTAATTATCTTATTACAGCTATCGAGACTGAACTTCCCTCTTCGTAGAGTTGAAACTCCCTGCTATCGTTGGTACTTTGGAGCTGAAGTTTGTATCTTACTTCTATGTAGCGAACGCGTTTGGAATTTATTACATACACCTACCTAATTCAGGAAGCTTCGGTCGTTGAATTTCACGATTCGGTTAGCAGTTCCGTTGGCATTGATTGAATTGTTTGCATAGAAATTCTTACTGCATATTCTTGTATGTAAGAAAAACTATCAGAAATGTAAATAATAAAGATGATTAGAAAAGTAAAACGTGACATTAGTATAATATAAAGCATGTATAATATATATATATTATATATAATATATATCATACTTTTATTTATTTTTTGTTATAAAAATAATCTAAACACAAGTATAATCTTTTTATTACTTTTCATCATATTATATACGATCAATTTATAATAAAAAAAATACCTAGTATAACATATCAATTGCTTATTTAAAATAATCACTTAAATAAGACGATTTATATAATCATAGGATGCTCGAAGCAACTCATACAGTACAAAAATTTGCAACAACATTGCTGTAATGTTTGCAATGTTACTGTACTATTGTTGGATTATTGCAATATTGCTGCAATGTTGTTGCAAGCTTTTGTACTGTATGAGAAAAATTTTAATAAATATTTTAAAAAATTAAAACATATTTGTCAAAAATATAATGTAGATTATTAGAATCATATTAAAATTCACACGGCCGAAGACGCTTTGCAGTTGTCGTATTTTTAGTAGAAAGCTTCCTTAAAAGATTTGTCGCAAACTGAATTGTACTTGATAAGCCCGTAGTATTGACTCTTCTGATTGGCAGGTGTAAATTGTTTCATTCAATCATAACTTAACTGCAATCTGTATGGAAAAATATGTAATACATTATTTAAATCTAAAAATGTCAATTGTAATACATATAGGGATTTTTTTAAACGAGTACTGTTATTCAATGAATAAATAGTATCTTGACAAAATATACGTCTGTTTGCTCATGCAATGCCATACAGTTTGCAGTCAGTCTAATGTGATCAATAACGTGAGAAGATATTTTTCAACTTGTAGGGCGGGGTGAGCGCAAAGACAGCGTTATGGAGATTCCTGAGAGATTTTACGATCGAAATAGCGAATCTGACGAAGACGAGAAATGGAGGTACGCGATCCATCTTTCGTGACAAGTTAAAATGGATCAATCACTCTATTCTATTCACATTTTCGATGTATTTATTATCGATTCATCAATTATGTTTTATACCATCACATCGTTGATATTTTAGTTTCGATATATGCAACGATAAAAGAACGAATGGAAACTCTAAATCATTCTACATTGATATTCATTAAGTTAAACATAATTGAATTTGTATGGGGCATAACTTTTGTTATTACAGTCAGTCGGCGAGAAATGAAAATGGCGTCGATTTGAAACTGGGTCGCGGACAGTTGCTGCCGAAAGGATTTAAAATAAACAGTGGTAAAATATTTATTTCAATCTCATATATACATCCCTCGAAAGTAAATTATTTATCCTCACAAATTCTATATTTTATTTTAATTTTGTCGTACATATTTTTTTTTGAGTGACTCGAAAAACATTCTAAATTAAATATATACACACTGATAACCTGATAAAGGTAGAAACGTTTGTAAATTTTGTAATTTACATTTTGTTTATATTAAATAGCATCTCACATCCTAGCTTAGTATTAGACTCGTAACCTATTTAATTTCTATATTATTTTTAATTATTGTCTCACTATATTTTTAATAATTTTAAATATATACGTATTTCTTTCCAAAATTATGCATACATTTAATAAAAATTGAACAGGTATTTACTTTGGATTCATTAAATCTCGAATACTTATCAATCTTTACTTTATTAGAGAAGAGAATCCTTCTTATTACAATTTCCCTTTCGCATCCATTTAATTGTGAATATAAACATTGTAGGCGCACAGAACGGCGAAGTACAGCTGGGTTTCTATCTGTGCAAGGGAACTCTCGAGGTCGAAGTTATCTGTGCGAGGGATATTTGTCCCGAGGAGAAAGAGGAGCCAGGTAATTTGAGGAGTATACTTCCTCTCTTTGTTGCTGTTAATTCTCCTATTCGAGTTATCGTTCCTGTTTGTAGTTGCTATAAAATTCTCACAAGTTACCTTTGAGGTCCTCCAGGCTATCTATATCCTCGCGCGAGCGTTAATTCCGTAGTCGTTACTCTTACAGCGTGCGGGTGTTCGGTCTTGATTATTCATGCATTACTTTAGCGTTTAGAAACAAATTTCCGGTCCAGTGTTCAGCGCGCCAGTTAATCGCAACGACCTACATCTACTAACTTGCTAAGGTCGAAGCTGCAGTAAAACTAACGTTTTTATAAATTCTGTAGAAATATTTTAATTTAAATAACTAAGAACTATTAGTTTAGTTGTTTAAATATTTTAATTTTAGTTAGCAAAAAAGGTTTAATAAAATTTAATTTAACAGCACGATAATAAATAACATATTTACTTCTTTTCTTTAGTAATCTTTAATTATTTCTATTTTTGTGTATTATCAAAATAAAATATTTCTTTGATCTACACACATTTATTTTAAAACAAAAAAGAAAAAAATTCTTTCTACTTATAGATACGCTGTTTGATTTTAAGACCATGTTCCCAAGTATCGACGGCAAAATTTTTATCTTTATCCACAGACACTTACGTGAAGACGTACTTACGAGAACGAGACGGCGACAAGTGGCTGCAGAAGCGCAAGACCCGCGTGGTGCGACACTCGAAGACTCCGCAGTATCGGCAGACGCTGAAATACGGACGCTGCGACACTCTGCAGGGCAGACACTTGCTGGTAATGCTGTGGGAGAAGAAGCAAGCCTTCGAGAGCAACCAGGGGCTGGGCGGCGCCGAAGTGGATCTCGATCTGCTGCCACCGAAGGAATTCATCTTCGATTGGTATCCGCTCTTCCCGATCCACACCCTCGGCACGCACAACGCGGATTCACCATGATGGTTAAGGGAAAAATGGGCCCTCGAGGCTGGCGAGCTCGACCTCAGATTGAGCCTTTTGCTCAAGGACGAAGACGAGCCCGTCGTCAAGATCATCTCTTGATGGAAATCGTGGCTGATTACGTGGCAATGTTGGCTGGATCGAATTCAACGCAGTCTCGATCTACGTGAGATAACAGTATTCTATATTATTACAAGTCCTTAAGTGTAGCAACGATGCTCACGTTGTACCAGAAGGTAAATGAAGTTCGCGACGACGAAGTTTTAATCCTCCTGTGTTTCTGCGACTTTTTAGTTATAACTTTTTAGTTTACTTATATTTTCAATAGCGTGCAAATGTGTTCAAATAGAAAAGTATTTTTATTTTATTCAATCGATTAGAATTATATTATACACGAATATTAAATTTGACTATATGGTCCACCAGATGTTACAAATGTTTCGAAACATTTTTTGATCGGTCGATTAGTACAATTCTTTCTTTCGATAGATCAATCAGAAGCTTCGAAGCATTTGTAGCGCCAAGTGGACCACACCCTTAATCGGCACTCATAATTGGCTGGTATTAAATCGATAAATGTATTTTATAATAATTCATTTATCAAGATATATTTAATCAACCTAAAAATGCAAACAAACGAGTAACGAATGACATATTTACCGATTAAATGTTTAATTACTTTTTAACATTTATAAATGTGGAGGTGATAGAAGAAAAATATATTTTTAAAGTTGAAATATTATTTAAAAAGATTTTATTTTTTCTTTTAATAAATATAATGTTAAAACGAATGTCGCAGAGCACAGAAACTTCAGATTGCTTATATCGCAATACATAAAAAATGATTTTCAAAAAGAACATCAGTCAGTAATATGGATCGATCATATGGCAAACTTGATCGATAATCATACTTAGCATATATAACCGGAAGACAATCAACTTCAGAGGGTTCAGTATTGAAGAAGACAATCAACTTTAAAAAATGTGAAGACATAATGCTTTCATTGACCTTACGCTTGTGGGACGACATCGGCGTCAGCGTCGTCGCGTTTTTTTTTTTTTTTTTTGCGAAGAGAAAGAAAAGAGAGGATGAGGAAAATAGATTCGAGAGAACTCAGTTCCTTCGATTAGCGCCTTTCGTGATTCGCGAGTGTCATGTCGGCACTCGCGGTGATTTTAGCAATAAAGGTGTACCTGCGCAAGTCTTGTTTGCACGAAGCAGCAGGGACAAAGAATACGGAAAGGTACGGAAAGTTTATTTTTCGATGAGTAACTACAGAAACAAATGGAAGCAGCCATGTATCCTGATGAAATGATAAGGGTCCATTTTTCCCGAAACAAATATAATGACAAATACGTCGATTGTGCGAAGCGAAACTCGATCGACATCTGCCGCCGGCAGCGGTCTCATCTGGTTGATCCAGTCAGGGATTCGATCGAATTTCATACGTGCTAATTCAAATATCGATATTTAAGAGTCAACAGGGATATATAGCCTGTTTGATCTTTCTATATGCCAACGAGACGCTTTCAGGGGATTCGCGTTTCTATTTAAAGTAGATATTTGATTTGGAATGCGGAACAGAAATTTGCAGTAACGCATAGTACAATTACGATTTCTTTGTTCAAATAATTGGCTAATTCTGAATTATATTATCCTTTTCTCTTGCTTTAAATTTCACATATAAATAAACATTAATTTGTACAAATATTATACCAACGTTATAGAACACTAACCATAAACTGACGTATTATTATCAATCTTAAATTATAGATTTAGAATTTTTGTATATACATAGCGTTCCAAAAATATGATGACTCTAGGAAAATAGAAAACGGAATCAAATGAAATGCCTCGATTAGCGTAACTACTTAATGCTTTAACTATTTAATGGTAGACAATCGTTTCAAGGCTCGCTGGCCGAGTCGATGATAAAAAAAAAATGGAGCAATTAGCACGAGGTGGTGGCGAGATGAGCGGATGAGTTCCCGGAGGTAACTTCGCGGTTAACTTGAATAATAACCAACCAAACTCAGTGTTTAGAAGTCGCACAATTTTTGTAGCTCGTAGACTGGTAGCGGGACTTCGATGTTTCTCAGATGTAATACTGACGTCCCGTTTTGCGTAGCGTCTCGAAGATCATTATGACTCCACGAAGCAATCCCGAGCAGTTCGATTGGCGATAAAAAAGATAACGGAGAAAAATTGGCAGAGATGACGTGTGGGGAGAAATATACAACAAAAATTCACGAGCTTAATTTATCGCTTCGGGATGATTTACGGTGATTCTCGGGACGTGTTAATGTGAATGTTTAAATCCTACAATGTCCCACGACGAAATTAGGGACATAATGGTTTGTCCAGAATTATTGCGCTTACCCCGCCCGAGTAATTAGTGATAGGTAATAAACGTGATAATATTGTAACAAAATTAATTAATGATTCGGCAGCATTCTCACGATATGATCCATGAGTCATGTCTTAAATGATTGAAAAGTTCACAAATTTATTATTATTATTATTATTATGCTGACAATGAGTGTGATGCATGCACAGACGGAGGAACACGCGACAGTAAGTGGTGTATGTGTATAAGGATTACGGCGTCGATTCCGGGACGTGGTATACACATGCATATCTATATATAAATATATTATACATTATTACAATCTGCGGGGAAACTGTAACGAAGGATAATCAAAATGTACATGTGTTTAAATGATACGATTAAGGATAAATACAGTGTCACTGTTTCATATCATTAAAACTCGGTGTTAATGATGTAGATGTTTAAGGGATGTCAACGAAAGTTCAATCGAAAATTTATTTTCGCAAGTCCTTTGAAACGAAATTCTTAACGACGATATACGTACATAGTTCTTACACTAGTAACTTCATTTCGTTGCAGTAGTAAATTTACTTTCCTCTAGGTATGTTTTCGTTCTACCTTTTTATAAATAACTACAAGTATTCTCTGTGAAAAAAATATCAGACTCTGACTTTTCCTATGAGAACTTTTATTTATTCACCATTAATGTCGGGTCTCCAAGATCAATAGTTTAGACAAATCTTGCGATTCCTTTGAGGATTCCTTTGCAAATGACAGATTTTTAATCGAAAAGATATGCAGGAATCGCGGAATCGCGAGGACCTAAGCATCCGAAGAAAGTAATTTTTTACTTAAATACACAGCAAGAAAACGTATCGGTCCGAAAAAAAGAAAAAAAGAGATACTTTAATTACGGTTGTGCTGTTCACGCATCTTACGTCGATATAATTGCTACATCAGTCTCTTAACGCCTCGAACGCTAGCGATACGCCTCGCAAGATTCATAAACGAGACGATTGTGCCTTCGCGAGGGCTACGTCAGATATATCGTAGAAAAAGAATAACTTCACGGATAAAATCGGTCTAGAAGCGTATCCGATATCATGAAAACATATTAAACGACACAAATTCGAATTTTGCTGTAAAATTATGCATGACTTCATATAATCTTGTATCTTTTATTTATTTTGTTATATACTCAATTACTCATATTATGATCTTAATAATATTACGCATTCGCCAAAGTCGTTATATTCTAATTAACGTGCAGTTTGTAACTCAATTAAATTTTCATCCAATTTATTTTTTTTTTTTCATGAATGAACGATAATTTATACGAATCATGTTAAAAAAACAAGAAAATAGATTCAAGATATGATCTTAGCAAATGACGTAAACAGAAAGTATAAGCGAAAAAGATGTTTGTGGCGAAGGTAAAGGAAATCGGCGAAACTTTCGACGAAAGATCACGATTTAATTCGAGCAAATGTATTTCATCGGAAGTTTCCTCATACGAAGATTATCGCATGGACAATCTTGTCGTACGAATGCAATCATCTATACTTTAGACGGAGGACTTCTCTCCTTTGTAATAGTTGAGCGCATTCTAAACAAGTTTTCTACTAGCCTTCGAAGTGACCTAATAACTATTACTATTATCATTAGTTATCGGTGCCGTTGTTATTGTTATCACTATTGCTGCTGCTTGTTCTCTTCTTGGGGCTATTCTAGATCAATCAATACTTATTAAAGTTCGAAACGAGAATTTATATTTCGTAACATTAGTTTTAAATTACACTGATCTTTACTAATGAAACTATAAATGAGACAAATTAATTTTTTGTTCTTCAAATTATTGTTTTATCGTTAATATTATTCTGTGTATTTATTAAATATGTTCTCTATAATTCTTATATAATATTAATTTTTTAATTAGACACTTTTTAATTCATATATGTATATATTTCCAAGTTTGATATTTTGTTATATTTATTTATTTATTTACATTTTGAAAAATAAATAAAATTAATTTTCTTTTGTAATTAAATGCAGATAAATGTACAATTATAGTATATTATATTAATTATATTTATGTTCTACATTTAGAAGTCTAAAAAGTCTAAGGACAAAAAATTAAATTGTTCGTACTCGAATGTGCTATCCTTCGCTCATTTTACGCACGTTTCTGAAAATCTTGTAGCAGTTTTCGACGAAGTTCGAGCTTACGATAAAAAGTTAGCTTACAATAAAATCCTTACATTATAGTAAAATCTAGACACATGTCATTCGCTCAAATAGAGAGCAACTACGATTTTTCTACGATACAGAACGCTAGCACTTTAATGTAGAGCATGACTTGAGTCTGTTTCACTATTGTCTTACGTCTAATTACGACGAACGCATATGTACACACCAAGTACACACAGAGACAGACAAACGAACAGACAAACAGGCAAACAAACACATGTGTACGCAAATACGTTGAAATCAATCTTGACAATCGAAACTATTGGTTCAAACTTATGCTGTGGATCTTTAGAAGATAATATGTCGTACTTATTACATTTCATATATTATATATAATATGGGCCGTGTGTAAAATATTTATTAAGACGAGCGTACACATCGCTAATTATTACACAACTGTAAATTATCAGGTCAATCAGTCGC